CATTTTCCTTATTAACAGGGATCTTGGTGGGAAGTGTGTGTGTGTGTGTGTGTGTGTGTGTGTGTGTGGCATGGGAGGCGGGGGCTGCTGAAACTAGCAGAAGAGGCCATAATGGCAGGAACTCCCAGGAATCAATGCAGGTCAGAACTTTGGAAGAAGTAGGCTTCTTAGAACTCCTCAAATCCCACAACCCTATAATTTCCTCTCTCCACAAGTAGGAAATACACAGAGTGAGGTGTAAGACAATTCCATGTAACTTGGCTTACCTCCTAAATGTTAGGTGTGATCTGGATACTACAGATCACTGCTAAAGACCAAAGCAGGGAAGAACAATGAAGAATTTACTACATTGTCTATTATCAAGGTTAATCATTATATTTTTAAATATTATTTTTGTATCCTCACCCAAGGATATGTTCATTAATTTAGAGAGAAGAAGAAGAAAAAGGAGGAGGAGGAGGAGGAGAAGAAGAAGAGGAGGAAGGAGAAGAAGAAGGAAGAGAGAGAGAGGAACATCGATGTGAGAGGAAAACGTTGATTGGCTGCCTCCTACACGCCCCTCCCCCCCCACGGGGGATGGAAACCGCAACTTTTGGTGCACAGGACGATGGTCCAACCAACTGAGTCACCTGGCCAGGGCCATTATCTTTTTTGTTGTTGTTTATTTTCTTTTTGTATGTTTTCAATTACACATGACATTCAATATTATATTAGTTTCAGGTGTATATCTTGGTGGTGAGACATCAATATAATTAAGAAGTGATTCCCCCCAATAAATCTAAAACCCACCTGGCACCATACATAATTATTATAATGTCTTTTATTAAGAGGTTTGGTTTCCATTAAAAGCTCAACTACCCAGAAAGAAAAAGAAATGTGTTTGCATTTCAAGTGTGAGGACATGGCTCAGGCTGTCTTTCTCAAGGAGGCTCAGGCTACCTCGGTGCCCTCTGGCATTATCACCTGTGAGTCCAAGCTCCTTTCTACCCAAGATAGGAAATGCTTACCCTTCACAGTAGATGTATAAATAGGGCTTTGATTCATGAATTAATTTTCTTTCCTGTGGCAGGCATAAATTATGCTTTCAGTTCTCTAACATCTAACTTTTAGGAATGACTGCTAGATGAGAGCTTCAAATACACAATCTATAATAATAAAAGCATAATATGCTAATTAGACCGGACAGCCAAATGACCTTCTGAATGAAGCTGGAGCTGTGAGGGCCAAGTCCCTTGCATGAATTTCGTGCATCGGGCCTCTAGTACATATAATAATAGTATGATAGCCATAGTTATAGACATTCAGATACTATTTGAAAAATATTTATGCCTCCATTGCTCTTATACCTTTCAGCATACTTTCACACGAATATATTACCAGATCAAAAGCAGTTAATAGTATAGTTACATCAAATCAAACGTGTCCCCTAATGACTCAGAAGGCATTTGGGTCATGCTAGTGCCCCAGGATGATGGTCACAAACTTGGATTGTCAAAGTGCAAGAAGTGCATGCTAATAGATATTTCCAAGATATAATGAGAAACCAATTGGGGTTTATTGTAGATTCACTTAACCCTAAGGAATAAAATGAGATACATCCCTCTTGGAGAAAATTTTTACCTAATTCAATATCTCGAAGGGCATGAAGAGTTTGCAGGCTTAGAGTAAATCAGAAAATTCCACTGACCTGTGACTGATAACATCACTGAAGTCAAGTGTCCCACCCTGTAAGCCCCCTTTTCAGGCTTCTGAATGACACAGGTGTATGTGCCATTGTCCGACGGGCGCAGACCCAGGATCACAATGAAAGGGTTACTGATGATGTTGGCTACGGTGCGGTTCCTATACTTGGGCCACACTTTCATTTCTCCGGAAACGACACTCAGCACCATATCACTATTATTTTTTTGCCAGTAGATGCGAACTTTCGTCAGTTCATCAGTGGAAATGTTGTAATCACAGGATAGTACTGCCCTGTCATTCACCGGCTTGGTCATCTGGATGATGCCTAAGAAGAGGCAAATAGAACAAGATTTTACATGTTTAGTAAATATAGATTCCTGCACAAGTAGGAATTCAGAGTTGGCAGTAACAGTGTTATATCTTGTGGCTAAGCATATTCAAATGATTTATTTTGATTTTTTTGGTTCCCAATGCTGTTTTTTTCTTCATTTTTAAAGTTGACGCCCTCCAGCCCACCCCCGCCCCCCTCCCAGGACCTCACTGCCCCATAAAATTTGCCATCGTAAGTATTTTTAAGAGTACAGTTCAGTAGTGCTAAGTATATTCACATTGTTGTGAAACTCTGTCTGTATGTATTCAACAATACCCCTTTCCCTCCACCCCCCCTCCCCCCCTGCTCCCTGACCCCTGGTATCCAACACTCAGCTTTATGTTTCTATGAAATTGACTACTTTAGATACTGCATAGAAGTGGAATCATGTAGTATTTGGTGTGTTGTTTTTTTTAAATATATTTTTTATTGATTTCATAGAGGAAATGAGAGAGACACATCAATAGGCTGCCTCCTGCATGCCCAGCACTGGGGATCAAGCTTGCAATTTGGGCATGTGCCCTGATTGGGAATCGAACCTGGGCCTCTTGGTTCATGGGACGATGTTCAATCCACTGAGCCACTCCAGCTGGGCTTTTTTTTTTTTTTTAAGAGCAGTTTTAGCAGAAACCGGTTTGGCCCAGTGGATAGAGCATCGGCTTGGGGACTGAAAGGTCCAAGGTTCGATTCCGATCGAGGGCATGTACCTGGGTTGCGGGCACATCCCCAGTGGGAGATGTGCAGGAGGCAGCTGATCGATGTTTCTCTCTCATCGATGTTTCTAACTCTCTATCTCTCTCCCTTCCTCTCTGTAAAAAATCAATAAAATATATTTTAAAAAAAAGAAAAAAAAGAGCAGTTTTATATTCACATCAATATTAAGCAGAAGGTACAGAGATTTACCTTATACAGCGTGTCCCCACACATGCTTAGCCTCCCCATTATCAACATTCTGTACCTGAATGGTACATTTCTTACAACTCATGAACCTACAAGGACACATCACTATCCCAAAATCCTTGTTTATGTTAGGCTCACTCTTGGTGTTATACATTCTACGGATTTGGACAAACTTATAATGACATGTATCCACCATTTCAGCATCATACAGAATAGTTCACTGCCCTAAAAATCTTCTGTGTTCTGTCTATTCATCCATTTCTCACCCCTAACCCCTGGCAACCTCTGATTTCTTTACCACCTCCATAGTTTTACCTTTTCCAGAATGTCATATAGTTAGAATAATACAGCATGTAGCTTTTTTCAGATTGTCTTTTTAAAATAATTCTTTATTGTTGAAAGTATTACATATGCCTCCTTTTTACCCCATTGACCCCCTCCCCTTGCCCCTTCCCCCCACCCCCTCCTCTACCTCACTGCCCTTGGGCCATGCATATATGCAAGCAAGGTCCTTTGTTGATTGCCTCCCACCACCCACCTTCCCTCTGAAATTCCAGACTCTGTTCATGCTTGAGTCTCTGGATCTACTCCTTTCATCAGTTTGTTACTTAGATCCCACATATAAATGAGTTCATGTGATACTTGTCTTTCTCTGACTGACTTACTTCACCTAGCACAGTGGTTCTCAACCTTCCTAATGCCGCGACCCTTTAATACAGTTCCTCATGTTGTGGTGACCCCCAATTTCATTGTTACAAATTGAACATAATTAAAGCATAGTGATTAATCACAAAAACAATATGTAATTATATATGTGTTTTCAGATGGTCTTAGGCGACCCCTGTGAAAGGGTCGTTCGACCCCCAAAGGGGTCGCAACCCACAGGTTGAGAACCGCTGACCTAGCATGATACTCTCCTTTGGTGTTGTTTTTCTAAAAATTGATTTCAGGGAGAGAGAGAGAGAGGGAGGGAGGGAGGGAGGGAGGTAGAGAGAGAGAGAGAGAGAGAGAGAGAGAGAGAGAGAGAGAACTGAGTCACACTGGCCAGGGCAGTGTTTGTCTTGTTGTGACAGGCTTATTTTACTTAGCATAATGTGCTTAAGTTTCATCCATGTTTTAGCATGTGCCAGAATTCCTTCCTATTTTAAGAAGGAGAATAAGATAATGATGATAATGAATTCTTTACCCATTTATCTCTCGACAGACAGTGAGGAAGAAGGTCCACTAGTCCCACAGGAATCTGGAAGTCATAGTTAAGACATGTGAGATATTCAAGCGATTTTCATGATTATTCATTTGTACAGATGGTCTTATTTTACAGAGGAGGAAACGAGGCCTTGGAAAGCAAACTGCTCCAGTTTTACATTTTCTGGCCAAAGATTTTCAGGCCACTCCCCTTGTTTACTGGTTTTCTCAACTTCAGAGCCCAGATCTAGGATAAGTAAGCCAGCACTGCTGGCACCCCAGCTGGGCCCCACCACCAAGTGCTTTTGCTTTGAGAAACAGAGTCCTTTTTCCCCCCCAGCCCTGGACTGACCCCATGACTTCAGACTGAAATGACTCCCATCATCCCCACCAGACAAGGCCTTGTTAGCATTCTGGACCATGTCTGACCTCTTCAGCTACCCTAAACAGACCTACATCCATCTTCCTATCTCTTTGCCATCTGCAATCCATGCAGCAGTTGCCCTACAACCTAGTTTTGCTAGAGGGCCCCCATTAAAAACATTCTACCCATTTTCCCATCAGCATATTGCAGAAATGCCAACATTTCGGCCTCTAAACTCCATCTCTTTGTTAGCTCCTGAGCACTCATCAGTAGCACCAAAATCCCTTCTCAGACTATATTTTATGAATTTTTCATTCAGAAGGCATGGCCACTTTTCCAATGCTGTGCAGAGTCCCTCTGAGCACCAAGCTCTTTCACAACTGCCCTACCCCCACCCACACCATGCCCAGACCCAACAGACCCCCTGGGGAGGCCCATGTCTAGGGGTTTTAACTAATAGGTTAGTTCCCAAAAATAATCCAGGATTTCTAACTGATTTTGACATGTTGTAAAAAGAGAAATCTTAACTGAAAGTGACCTAATTTTTTAAAACAAAATTTATTGGGGTAACATTGGTTAATAACATAGAAATGTCAGGTGTACAAGTTTAGAATACGACATCTCACGGTCTAGCCTCCTTCCATCCCCAGGTATTTGATCCCCTTTACCCTCTTCATCCTCCCCTCACCCCCTTTCTGCACTAGTAACCACCATTCTGTTGTTTATGTTGTATCTATGAGTTTTGTTTGTTTATTATGCATTTGTTGTTTTTGTTTTATATTCTACATAAGAGTGAAATAATACACTTCTTGTCCTTTTTCATCTGACTTATTTCACTCAGCACAATAATCTCAAGATTCATACATATTGTCACAAATAGAAATACCTCATTTTTTATGGCTAAGTATTCTATTATACATGTAGTATATCTTTTAAAAAATTGTTATTATTAAGAGTATTACAGATGCCCCCATTTTTCCCCCCACTGTCCCCCTCCACCTTATTCCATCCCACCTCAAGCTTTCACTACCCTATTGTTTGTGTCCATAGGTAATACATACCAGGTATATGCATATAATATCTTTGGTTAATCTATTGCCAACCCTCCCTCCCCACTTCCCTCTGGGATTTTTCAGTCTGTTCCATGTTTCTATGCCTCTGATTCTATTTTATCCATCAGTTTATTTTGTTCATTAGATTTCTTGTTCATTTATTTTGATTTTCACATTCCATTGTTGATAGATATATATGTACTGCCATTTTATTGCTAGTGCCAGGTCTTGGGCCTTTTATTGATAGGTTAGGGCATGCTGACACCAGTTGCTGCTTGTTTGAGAGATTTTAGAAAAGTCTGAAGCCTGAGCCAGGACAGGCCATTCATATGGAAGTCACTGCAAACAGCTTGGGTGGGGCTGCAAATTGGGTGGGGTGGGATCTCAAGGAATCATCAGGGCAGAGCAAACAGTGTGAGCCATGCTGATGGAAACTCAGATATGGCTGCCAGTCAGCTCTGTCATGATGGGGAGGTCCCAGCACAGGAACAATGACCCCTGTGAGCACACCCAGCTAGGAGAGAGCTGCTACCTAGTTCCTGCCCTGATGCCAGACAATCCAGTTCCTTCCTGTATGCCCCTGGACCCCCCAAAGTCATTGCTTGGTGCTGGAGATCAGAGGAAGTGAGACTGTGTAAGTACATGTGCCAGCCTTTTACGAGGAACTATCTGAGACTCCAGCAGCCTTTGTGTCACTCAGTCACAATCCTTGCTGATTTTTACAGCCCGAAGTTACGGGGACTTCTCTTCGCAACTCTGGAACTCTGGGATGAGGGGTCTGGTGTGGGGCTAGGGCCCCTTGCTTCTCACCAGAGGCCTTGGAGATATCCCTCCCAATTAAAAAGCAAACAAACACCACACATGGATGTTGGACAAGTCCATTCCGTGCCTCCACCCCTCCTACTAGTCTTGATGTGCTTTCTTCTTTACTTTTCTAGTTGTAGGACTTCCATTCAACCAGATTTCAGGTGGTTCTGAATGATGTTTTTCTGTATTTTAGTTGTAATTTTGATGTGGTTGTAGGAGGTGGTGAGTGCTGGCATTTATCTAAACAACCATCTTGGTTCTCTCCACATCTTCTTTAACTAATCATCTGTGGAAGTTGTTTCCATGACTTAGCTATCCTATATAATAAAAGCATAGTATGCAAATTGTCCCCTCAACTGGAGTTCTTCCGGGGGTTTGACCAGGTAGCAGGTTGGCTGGGGGAAGGGAGGGAGGCCCTGGCCGACAGCCAGCAGTCACTAGGGACCCTACCAGTGCATGAGTTTTGTGCACTGGGCCTCTAGTTGTAAATAAAGCTGCAATGAGCATAAGGGTACATTTATCTTTACCAAAAAAGTGTTTTTAAATTATTTGGATAGATACCCAGAAAAGGGATTGCTGGTCATATGGTAGCTCTTAGTTCTCTTTCTCCTTCTTCCTGGTTCATTTTTAGGCTCCTATCTTTGAGCTTTCTGATTCTCTGTTCCTTCTGGTCTGCTCTATATCCAATGCTTTCTAATGCATTCCTCATCTCATTTATTGAGTTCTTCAACTTCATAATTTCTATTTGGTTCTTTTTTATAATTTTAATTACTTTGGTAAGGTGTTCTTTTTGTTCATTAATTTTATTCCTGAGCTCATCAAATGGCCTTTCTTGTACTTCCTTGAGTTTCTTCGTAACTGCAATCTCAAATTCTCTGTTATTTAAATTGCAGTCTTCCATGACTTTGAGTTTGGTTTCTGGGGACTTTGCATTTTCTTTCTGTGCTTCCATGTTACCTTGGTTGCTCATGGTTCTTCATGTTTCTAGGTCTGTGCATTCAAGGAAGGGAATGCTTTTCTTGTTTAGATACTGTTTTGCTCTTAATTCAGTAGGTTGCTAGGTAGGTTACTTTCTTTCGTTTACCAGTAGGTGGTGCTATAGCACAAATTTTTGTTTTCTCTTACCCATGACATTGCTTAAATTGAGGAAAATGCCACAGAACCACTGGAGTGGTGGGTTTCTCCTCTGTGACCTGCTCATCTTGGTTAAGGTGAACACCGTAATGAAGAATCAATTTTGTTAGCTTCCATCACTGCCTTCTCATTATTAATGGCAGCTGACCCCACTGTGTTTTTGGAGTTGTCTTCACTACCTCTACCAGGGTCTGTGGTGAAGGGTGGGGCAAGGGAGGCAAGTTCATGATTTCACAACTCTGCCTTCTTGTCAGCAATGGCTGCCGGCCTGTTGTGCTGTTTAAGCATCCCAGCCACCTCTACTGGACTCTGCTGCAACGGGAGAAGGGAGGGACACAGCCCCTGCTCCTCTTACGCTCCAGGCTGTTGTGTGAGGGCTGCGGCCTGACATCACCACTACTGTGCTCGCTGGAGCTGTGGTGGGTGCCGAACCGTGTTCTTTAGTCCCTGTCCTCCCTCCCCTACTCATTCCAATAAACGCACCTTCGGATGTGTGGATCTCTCAGGAAGACTCTGTGTGTTGAGCAAGGGATCCTTTGTTGAGTTATAGTTGTCTGACTTGTCAATTTAAGGAGAGAAACAAAGAAGCCTTCTCACTCTGCCATGATGCTGATGTTGGTGAAAATGAGCTAATTTCAATGATGGTTCTTAAGAAATTTTTGTCCACTGAGAAGTGTAAGCGTTTCTAAAGGTCAGTGACTTACTATGTGAGGCCCCCTTACAAGATGCCTATGTTGAGGCAGAACCAGACTGAAAAGAGGAACCAAAAATCTTCTGAGCATTTTGGAATTTCCACCGGGACAGCTTCTATACTTAGGCCCCTGTGCTAGAAACGGCATTTTAACAAGGCCCGAGGTAACTGGTATGCAAAATGAAAGTGTGAGCAGCACTGGGATAGACCATGTCACCCCCCTGCTCAAAACCCTTCCATGGCTTCCTGGTGCCCTCCAAGTGACATTCAGATTCCTGACTGTGGCCATCAAGCCCTTATGGAGCCTGGTCTCTATCCCCCCAGGTCCCCACCCCTTCAGTTTCTTGGTCTTTGGTTTCTCTTTCTGTTTTTTTCTGTTTTCTCCCCAGTTCACTCTCACCACTCTCTCTTCTGGCAAGGAAAGACAGCGTTTGTTAGTCAGACCTTCAATTGAATGATTATTTGATTAATTTTCATTTTCTTCATTTTCATTTTCATTAATGATCATAAATTCCATGAAAGCAAAAGCCATGTCAGTTTTGCGCATCACTTGTTCCCAAGACCGAGAAAAGGGTCTGTGCGTAGGAGATGCTGTGTTTGTTGAATTAATAAATGGTTAAATAAAGGCATGAACGCACGTGTCAGATTCATGCTTACTTTTGTGCTTTTGTCCATACTGTTGCCCCACATAGAATTCTCGCACCATCACCTATCTCCCACCTGCCCAATTGCCCCAGCCCACCCTGGTCTGCTTGATCTTGGGCTCTTACAGTCAGAACCAGGTACTTCACTGCTCTTCACTTGTGACTTTGTTTGCTCATGGGTTCATTTGTGACTCAGAACAGCAACAGTAAAATCTGGATATGACTAAAAAACAGTGATTTTGTGATTAACCAGTGTGCCGCAAGAATTCTTAAAACATGCAATACTAAATAGTCAGTACAGTGGGGCCTTGACCTACGAGTGGCCCGACTAACGAGTTTTTTGAGATACGAGCCGTCTCTCGGACGATTTTTTGCTTTGAGTTGCGAGCTAAAATTTGGGTTATGAGCCAGCTTCAGATACCCCACTGCTAGTTGGCGCAGCGAACGTCACAGTGAACGCCGCGACATCAGCCCAGCATCACGTGTCTTGATACAAGTAATTTGAGTTACGAGCTCCACCACGGAATGAATTAAACTCTTAAGTCAAGGCCCCACTGTACTATTTAGTCAGGGGCACTGACCTCTTTTCCCTTAGATTGTCAAATAAAACAATGACAACAGACAACACAACAATAGTCTGGTGTGAATGAATCAAAATTACACCTGTTTTTTGGTCAGATTGGCAACAAATACAATACATATTTTGGTGTGCCACAGAATGTTAAAATAATTAATTTATGTGTGCCATGAGATGAAAATAGAACAAGGTGCTTTCCTAAATGTTTTTCTTTAGCTCGAAGATTGTCTTCCTTTTGCCTATGATGAATTTTCTGGCATAATTGCTAAAGCCTTGGTTTTCATTTTAATGTGTGTGGCGTTTTTTTTTTTTGCTGCTATAATTTTTAATATACATTTTTAATTTTATTAAATTTATTGTTAATGATCTTTTTATATTATCTTTTTTATTGTTTCTCTCTCTGTGTGTCACACACACACACACACACACACACACACACACCCCTAGGAAGCCTGTACCAATTTCCTTCTAAATATTTTGAAATTTATTTAGACTCTCTAAGACTCTAATTTGGGAGTGCTTTCCCACCTTCCCAGAAGAAAATTGTAACTGTTGAAAATATAACTATGAAATATATACAAAATAGTCAAGTAATCTGTGTCCCCTAACTTCTCTTCCCTTCCCTTTCTTTTCTCTCCCTCCCAACTTAGACATTCTGGGCAACACCACAGTGAGACAGGTTTAAGTAAGAGCTCTTAACACAAGGACTTCTGATATTCGGCTCTTTGTAGACTGGCAAGCTGTGGTAGCCAAAGCCTTCTTTTTATGTTGGGGAAACCAGATACTATACTGCTCAGCAGAAAGCAAATCTTTTGCTTTTATTTTATTTTATTTTTTTTATATTTTATTGGCTTTTTTTACAGAGAGGAAGGGAGGGATAGAGAATTAGAAACATCGATGAGAGAGAAACATCGATCAGCTGCCTCCTGCACACCCCCTACGTGGGATGTGCCCGCAACCAAGGTACATGCCCTTGACCGGAATCAAACCTGGGACCCTTCAGTCCGCAAGCCGATGCTCTATCCACTGAGCCAAACCGGTTAGGGCTATCTTTTTAGTTTTTGTTGTTGTTGTTTTGTTTTTTAAATATATTTTATTGATTTTTTTACAGAGAGGAAGGGAGAGGGACAGAGAGTTAGAAACATTGATGAAAGAGAAACATTGATCAGCTGCCTCCTGCACACTCCCTACTGGGGATGTGCCCGCAACCAAGGTACATGCCCTTGACCGGAATCGAACCTGGGACCGTTGAGTCTGCAGGCGAACGCTCTATCCACTGAGCCAAACCGGTTAGGGCTTTTGCTTTGATTTTACAAATAAAGTCGGGCCCGGCGGACATGTCTCAATGGCTAGGTGTAGACCTATGAGTCAGGTCATGGTTCGATTCCTGCTTGGGGCGAATGCCTGGGTTACGGGCTTGATTCCTGGTGTGGAGCATGGAGGAGGCAGCCCATCAATGACTCTCTCTTGTCTTTGATGTTTTTGTCTCTCTCTCCCTCTCTCTTATTCTCTGAAATCAATAAAAATATATTTAAAAAAATCGTTGGACCTGGCCAGTGTGGCTCACTGGTTGAGAGTCAACGCATGAACCAGGAGGTCATGGTTTGATTCCAGGTCAGGGCACATGCCTGCTCTATCCCCAGTGGGGAGCCTGCAAGAGGAAGCTGATTGATGTTTGTCTCTCATCATTTCTATCTCTCTATCCCTCTCCCTTCCTCTCTCTAAAATAAATATAAATAGATAGATAGATAGATAGATAGATAGATAGATAGATAGAAAAAATAGAGTTTGAGCCATCCTATTGCTAGGATGAATAGTCCCCTAAATCTAGCACCTAAGATGAAACAAAAGCCTCCAGAAGATAAAATATTCTTTGCAGAACACACATGAAATACCTATGTAGTAAGTTAAAAACAACTAAAAAATAATTTTATTCTAAATCTGATACCACTTAATGTCAGATGCCAGTGTGCACAAAGGGCATCAACACCTAAAGCATAAAAATACACATTAAGCGAAAATTTTAACATTAGGAAGATTATACACCTCAACTGCTTTCTTTCCCTCTTCAAATGAGAAAGATCGCCATTTCTCTAAGCCCTGAAACAATGAACTCAGTCAAGCTGCTTACCTGAAGAGAAGTAAAAAAGACCAGCCAGCACCAAAGACTGAAAGAGCTTGAGGTACGAGCGCCTGGAGGGTAGTGTTCTCCACTTTGTTTGACCCATGGCTTCTGCTCCTTACAATGAAAAAACGAAAGCAAACAATTTTGCACCAAGAGAGAACTGGGCACCTTCCAAGCGAGTCCCAGGCTTGTGCAGAAGAAATTCAGTTGCCTCACACAGAGGACTCAATTGCAAAACACTGAGGAGAGGCTGATGATGCACCCACGTCTTTAAAATCCTGAATATAAAAGATTGTGGATTTATTCTGACACCCTGAAAAAGAAGAAAATAAAAGTCACCCAGGAAGGAAGGTCAGTCCACTGTGGCTTGTAAAACTCTCTAGTTGCCTGTCTAAAATAATTTGGGGATCCTAATCTGAGCCTGCCTGATCCCCTGACCGCCTTTGCCTCGGCTCCTGCACCCAGGACCCAGGCTTTCCTCTTTCGGGTGGCTTTGCCCGGGCAGGTACTCGGAACCCCGGGTGGCTTTGCCCGGGCAGGCACCCGGGGATCCTGGGTGGCACCGCCTGGGTCCCAGCTTTGTCAGGAAGGATGTCCAGTATGACATCTGGTCTAATTCGCATATTACCATTTTATTAGTATAGATTGTGGTGACATTGGCTTGTGAAACCATACAAGTTTCAAGTGTACAACTCAATAAAACATCTTCTGCACAGGAGGTCACTACATAATACTACAAGGATCAGTACAAAAGAGGATATAATCCTTGTATACCTATATGCACCCAACATAGGAGCATATAAATATATAAAGAAATTCTTGGTGAACATTAAGGAAGAGATTGATAGCAATACAGTCTTAGTAGGGGGTTTGAACACCCCACTGACATCAGTGAATAGATCTTCCAGACATAAAATAAGGCAAATGACATGCTGGATTTGGTAGATTTACTTGATATTTATAGAATATTTCACCCCAAAGAAGCAGAATATATGTTCTTCTCAAGTGCACATGGAATAGTCTCAAAGATAGATCACATGTTAGGACACAAAGTAAGTCTTAATAAATTCAAGAAGATTGAAATTATATTAAGCATCTTCTCTGGCCACAATGGTATAAAGCTAGAAATTACAAAAAAACAAAAAACAAAAACCAAACCCTAAAAACATTCATACACATGGAGGCTAAATAACATGTTATTAAACCATGAATGTATTAACAATGAGATCAAGGAAGAAATAAAAAGTGACCTGGAAACAAATGAGAATGAACAGACAACAACCCCAAAGCTATAGGGCACAGTGAAAGCAGTCCTAGGAGGGAAGTTCTTAGCACTACAGGCCTATCTCTAAAGGCAAGAAAAGCCCTGGCCAGAGTGCCTCAACGGTTAGAGCATCAGCCTGCTCACCTGATGCTTGCAGGTTCCAATCCCTGCCCCCACTGGGGCACATGTGGGAAGCAACCAATTGATGTGTCACATAGATGTTTCTCTCCCCTTTCACCCCACCCTTGCACTCTCTCTAGAAGCAATGGAAAAAATATCCTCATTCCTCAGGTGAGGATTTTTTTAAAAAGTAAGAAAAATCTCAAACAATCTAAACCTACTACACCTAAAGGAACTAGGAAATAACAACAAACAAAGCCCAGAGTAAGTAGAAGGAAGGAAATAATAAAGACCAGAGCAGAAGTAAATAAATGATACAGAGATTAACCAGATTCATCAAGAAAAAGAAGGGAGGACCCAAATAAATAAAATCAGAAACAAAAGAGGAAAGATAACAACTTACACACCAGAAATACATAGGATTGTAAGAAAATAATATGAACAACTATATGCCAACAAATTGGACAACCTGTGCAAAATGGATAAATTCCTAGAAACATACAATCTTTCAAAACTGAATCAGGAAGAATCAGAAAACCTGAATACTGTACACTGATTACAACTAATGAAATTGAAGCAGTAAAAAAAAATTTCCAGCAAACAAATGTCCTAGACCACAGGTGAATTTTATCAAACATTCAAAGAATTAACACCTATCCTTCTCAAACTATTCCAAAAAATTTAAGAGGCAGGAAAATTTCTAAGCTCATTTCACAAGGCCAGCATTATTCTAATTCCAAAACCAGATAAAGACACTATAAGGAAAGAAAATTATAGGTCAATATCTCTAATGAACATGGATGCTAAAATCCTCAAAAAAATATTAGCAAACCAGATCCAGCAATACAATTAAAAGATCATACTACATGTTCAAGTAGGATTCATTCTGGGAATACAAGGTTGGTACAATATTCACAAATCAATAAACATGATACATCACATAAACAAAATAAAGGTTAAAAATCACATGATTATATCAGTAGATGCAGAAAAAGCATTTGATAAAATCCAGTACCTACTTATGATAAAAACTCTCAGTAAAGTGGGAATAGTGGGATGATACCTCAACATTAAAAAGGACATAAATGACAAGCCCATAGCCGACATCATACTCAATGGGCAAAAAGTAAAAGCGTTTCCCTTAAGATCAGAACAAGACAGGATTGCTGGCCTTCACCACTCTTATTCAACATAGTACTAGAAACGACTTCCTTCTTAACATATTAACATAGAAAAACAAGTGTCTCAATTCTTAAATACCTCTTCGCAAAAAAATAAATCAACAGAAAATCTATTAATAAAAGGGGAAGAGAAAAGACATAACAAGCTATCCCATATTAAGATAATAGTAAATTTACTTACGCTGAAGAACAATTTCTCTTTTTCTCTTGTGTTGAAAATTAAAGTAGGAGGACCCACTTCTGAGATGTTCTCGTTTGGGTAGCTTGAAATGCTGTCAAATTGCTCAGATGTACTTTAAGTTCTATGTCACAGAGGCGGCATTCCCCTTCCAACTTCCTCTTACTCGAGTTTTCCATCAGGCATAATTAAATAAAAGCACAAGGTATGGTTATGATGATATGATTTGAGGAAGCTCCCGAGCTCAGTCAGTTTCTTAGACTGATGGGTGGGGCCAACCACACACTGTCCTAAGAGAGCAGCGGGTAGCGTGGGGGAGGGAAGAAAGTGGTTGGAGGGTTGACTTCTGGCAGGAGATGCTTGTGAGCTTTATGGGCTGCCTGCTTCTGTCTAATCCCAAGTTTTGTTTTAGCACCTAGAGTTATCCCTCCCTAGCCTCAGTCATGCCACTGAAGGAATGGGCCATCATATGTAGTGGACATCTTTTGGAGAGTACTCAGCTCATAAGGCCACTCTTGATTGCATGCCCACCTCTCCATCCCACCCTCTTCACAGCGTGGGCTCCTGGCAGCCATGGTGGACAGTGTCTCCCTACCCACGGCTGAATGCACCTCAGGGGAGCACAATGACAGAACCAAGGCATGGGATGAAGAGGATTTAGCCTCTCATCCATCCCATTCCCAACCAATCCCATTGCCAGCCAGCTTGCTGTGGTTATGTCCTCTGTAGAGTTCTGGAGCATTCTGTGGGTAAACGGCCGGCCGGTGCTAATCCAGCTGACCTGTCTCGCACAGGTAGAACCTGACAGCAGCGCCTGCCTGGGCCGGCACCTTTGACTGCTGTTGGCCCTGAGCTTCTCTGTTGCTTTGGCTTGGACCTTTGGAAGTTTTGCACTCACGTGTGTGCAGTCTGAAAATATGGGAGGAGTTAATGCCTATGGGGCCCGTCTTAACCAAATGGGGCTGGAAGGTGATGGATAACTGCTTTCCCCTTTGTCACCCAGGTGGAGAGAGCCAAGGTACATGATCAAAACTCACTGAACAACACACCAAATGAGTGCATTTCATTACATGTAAATTGTATCTCAAAAAAATTTTTATTTTATTTTTAAAAAGCTCTCAGGCCAAGTCTAGGTCATTACAGCCAGAAAAAAATAGGCATAGCAAATAAAAAATTTGAGTAGGTATACAAAATATATTAATGATAATAGAAAAAATAAAATGGAATAACATTGCCGAGTCACTTAAAAAGAGTCAGGAGACAATTAAGGAAATGAGGCCCATGGAGTTTGGTGCCTCAGTTCTCAGAGCTACTGATATGTTGCTAAACCTGCTGCTAAACTCAGCTCCAGGCTGAGCCATAAACATCCTGGAACCACTGTTACATGGACAGAAGTGGACTCTACCTCTTTGGAGTTTTGAAACCCCTTAGTTTGCATACTGGACTAATCAATCCCTGTTAACCTCTCCAGAAATCCTTTATTTGCATGAAAAAATTACATTTTGTGGTTTTTGCCTTAATTAACCCGGCCTTTCTTTGATCACTGTGGCATAGTTTGGGCTGCTCCTTCATAGGCTGCGGGAACTTCACCAGTGTTAGATGGGTGGGGTCAGACTGCCCCTGGGTTCAGCAACCTCCATACTTGAGTCTGGCTAGGAAAGAATTCAGAGCCAAGACTCCATATTTATTTATAAAATCACAGAGGTAGAAGTAGTAATTTGTAGATGAAATGGGCTTAGGAAACAAGTTACAGAGGTAGAGGAAGGGCCCTGGGAGCTTGGGAGTAAGGAAGGTAATGGTAATGCCTGGGGGAGGGAACGGGGAGATGGGAGGAGGAAGGAAGAACATGCTGGGTCCTCTGAACTAAGGGTCTTAAGGGTGGAGATTTTAGGGGAGATCCGAGAGGATGATCTCAATAGAATATTCAGCAATTTTCCGGGTGTGCCCTCTGAGGGTCTAGGTCTCCACTGATTGATTGGTTGGTGCCTGGGCAGGGGGTCATTATTCAATGCAGCTGGTCCTGAGGTCAGCCATGGGGATCTCCTCTCTGGTTTTGTTGCTTTTCTAGGCCTTGAGCTCAAATACAACTGAGGCCTAGAGCTTGTCTCTAGGAAGGGAAGGTTAGGGGGTCCAGCAGGACCACTGATTTGCTAGGGGAGGAAAGGTCCCCTGGGGGTGAGGTCCCACCCTCCAATTGTCCCTTGGTAGGCACCTGGGGCTTTCTGCCCTGGTGACCTCTGTACCTGGCCCATAGTCCTTGCTCTGCTACTGTGTCTAACTGCCTGCCACAGATTTTTTTTTTCCAGATGGGTAGAGATACTTTTATAAAACGATAACAACCACAATTGGGATACAATTTTAAATTTGATTTTACTTGAATTTCACTAAAGAGAAAGACAAGTTGATGGAATTGCTGAATTCATACAAATATTTCCTCTAGACAAGAGGCACTTCCCCTAAAATATCCCTTCAAGACTAAAAAAAAAGAAACTGTGAGAACATTAAAGGTTGCAGTCATGATTATTCTCTCCAAGGACATATTTTCATTCTTGTGTGTCTAGATTGACTTCTTGCTGTGAACGATGAGTTCGTTGGCCCAGCCACACTGGCGTGAACACGCAGTTCTGAAAACATTGAAGCCCTTCTGTACCAGCTGGTAAATACCAGCCACTGCTCTCCCCGGGGCTCGCCCTCTCTCCTGGCTGCCCCCACCCCCCTCACCCCCAGGACCAACCCCGACCCCCATCTCCTACAGGGGAAAGGAACTCGGGTCCAGCCTCCCAGCCTCTTCTACACGCACCACTTCGCCCCAAGCAGCTTCGTTCCCATCAATTTTATATAATGGCCGTAGGTAAGGCTCTGTTTGCAGAAAATATTCAGTGTGAAAACCATTTGAAAACCCCTGCTCAAGGTCCGCACTCAGGCCCTTGCAAGTCTGCAGTCTGGAATTTCCGAGAATGGACCTGCCACAGATTTTTGTCTCCTTTTGCTCAAATGAATGCTCTGTTCTTTATTCTAGCCTGAACCTCTTCTTGGTACACATATATGTTGATCCTTTTTTTTTTTTTAACTGGCACATTCAGTTATTTACACAAAAGTAGTCTTAGTATTTCTTTGCTTTTATTAGCTAGCAGGATGAAAAAGTAATATTCAGCTGCCAAATAAATGACAAGAGTTAAAATTAATCCTAGCAACCACCCTAGGGAGTACTAACTATTCTTGTCCGCTTTCATGGGTGAGGGGCCCAGGAAGTTGAAAAGGGCCCTTTTTCTAAGCATTTGGCTACATAGCCCGGCAGGAAGAGGCCTCGGCCCGGGGCCCACGTGAGTCACCGAGGGGACAGCCGGAGCCGAGGTCGCCGGTGACTGACGCGGGCCCTGTGGTCCCCGCCGGCCCGGAGGGCGCTGCAGGACAGGGAGGCTGCAGCAGAAGGCGCTCCGCGGCTGGCTGCTCGGGGCGCGGTCCCGCCCGGGACAGGCTCCGCCCCAGGCGCCCAAAGCCCGGCTCCCCGCCGCCCTGTGCCATCCGCCCCGAAGCCACCAGGCCTCGCCGGGACCCTGAAATCGCCGCGCCGGGCCCCGCCCTAGTCTCGCGCCCCACTTGTCCGCCATTAGGTACCCGCCCTGCTGTCCTACCCCGTCTCGGGACTCCCCGCCCTTACCCCTGCGCGCTCCTCTCCCCGCCCCTTCCCCCTGCGCGCTCCTCTCCCGCCCCCTCCCCTGCGCGCTCCTCTCCCGCCCCCAACCCCTGCGCGCTCCTCTCCCGCCCTCTCCCCTGCGCGCTCCTCTCCCGCCCCCTCTCCCTGGAGCCCCTCTCCCGCCCCCTCCCCCTGGCGCCCCTCTCCTGGCGGTGACCAGGTCCCATAAGCGCTCCCTCCCCCTCCTCGGCCAGGTCCGGGGTGCTCGGTCACCCCACCTCCCCAGGGACCAGGTACACCCGGGGCACAGCGTTTTGGGGATTGCCCTCCTCCCACGCGGTGACCAGGTCCCCCTCCCCCATCCGGTCTGGGACAGACGTGTCCCCCCGCCCCTACAAAAAAAGTTGAGGTCTGTCGGGAAGCAGCTGAGCAACCTTAGTTTCGAATTTAGAGTAGGGGAGAGAATTGTTCGCAGGAGTGTCAGCGGTTCTCAACCTGTGGGTCGCGACCCCTTTGGCGGTTGAACGACCCTTTCACAGGGGTCGCCTAAGACCATCCTGCATATCAGATATTTACATTATGATTCACAACAGTAGCAACATTACAGTTATGAAGTAGCAACGAAAATACTTTTATGGTTGGGTCACAACATGAGGAACTGTATTTAAAGGGCCAGAAGGCTGAGAACCACTGCTAGGGGACAGCGCGGTCTGAAAGCGGAAGGCTAGGGCAGTTCCATGTGAAAGTTAAAAGGATTTTCCAGCGGAAAGAGATGGTCATTGTCCCGCCCCCGCTTGCAAGTCACAAAACACATATTCGGTGGAGCCAGAAGGAATTACAGAAAGGAAGCCGAGGACTTTGGGAGAGCGGGTACAGAGGGACTAACAGCTGGTCCTGTGAAGCCGCCAGCACAGGACCGGAGCCCAGGGAGCATCTGTGGCCTCCTTCCCCCCCCCTCCCCCACCTCCACCCCTCCCCGTCTCCAATTACTAGTATAAATTGGGAAAACCCAGGTCCAGTGTGGATGGCTTACCCACAATCACACAGCTGACTCTTTGCAGACTCAGGTCTAGTGGCCCTCAACTCCAATTTCTGGGCATGTAAATAGCGTTTTACAAACATCCTTTGTGAGCTAAGAAATTCAGCATGATCAGGATTGATTTGCTCAGTCTTCATTTACTCTTCCCCAGGTGCTGGCCAGCCTGCCTTCCCAGGCCAGCAGCAGTGCAGCTCGGGAAGGACTCTTGGAAGCCCCAGTACTTGGACTATAAACCCTGAGTCAATAGGGTTTAGGTAAGTGGGAGGGAGGATGGGCATCTTGGGTGTGGAAAGAGCTTGAGCTGAGGAGGTGCTGGTCTGCCAGCCATTCCAGGTGTTTAGCTGGCCTATGCAGTGGAGGGGATGGGCCCAGTAAAGGCTTTGAACTTGAGTCCTAGAACTTGGGTGCTAAGGCAACAGGGTACAGTGGAGCACTGGAAATGCACCTGCAGGAGAACCAGCACTGGACCAGGAATAGATTCATGGCGGTTATCTTCGTTGAGCTCCTAGGACTCTAGAAGGTAATCATTCAGAAGAAAAACAAAATTTAAATATTGCTATTGAAAGGAAGGTTCAGTAAGAGAAAAATCTTTTCCCTGGTTGTATATGAATAATACAAATAGTGCTTATGATGTGCGAAGCACTGGTCTAAGTGCTTAACAAAACAATGTATTTATTTACTCCTCGGAACAAACCCAGGCAATTGTTACTATTTTTATCACCATTTTAGAGATGTAGAGGCTGAGGCACAAAGAGATTGCCCAGTAAGTAGGTCTGTGCTAAGGTGAGTGGCCTGGAATCAGCAGATTCGGGTCCCAGTGCCTCTACTTGCTGGTTGTGTTAATTTACCTTCTCTGAGCCCCAGTTTTTTTGTTTTGTTTTGTTTTGTTTGTTTGTTTTGTTTTTCTGTCTCTTAAGAAAATTAATCCTCGCTAGGGGACATTTTTTTCATTGATTTTTAGAAAGAGTGGAAGGGAGGGAGAGAGACAGAGAGAGAGAGAAACATCCATGTGAGGAGAGATACCTCGATTGGTTTCCTCCCGCAGGTGCCTGACTGGGGCCAGGGGTCAAGCCTGCAACCAAGGTACACGCCCTTGACTATCATTGAAACTGAGACCCTTCAAACCACTGGGCCAAACCAGCTAGGGCAGTGATGGCGAACCTATGATACATGTGTCAGAGGTGACACGCAAACTCATTTTTTTGGTTGATTTTTCTTTGTTAAATGGCATTTAAATATATAAAGTACATATCAAAAATATAAATCTTTGTTTTACTATGGTT